GAGCTGAAGATGGTACCCAGGGCTACTAAATGGAGGAATATACATGGACCAAGGTAGACTAGAGAAGAAAATATGAGCATGCCAAGTTGGTGATGTCATCCAGCGTCCAAACAACATTTTTGAATTTTTGTAGCAATTAATTGATGACCAAAGCACATACTAACTAAACCAACCCCTATACCATTGACAAGTACTTAGTTGGACACAACCCACCAAGCAAAAATATAGCACAAGCCTTTAACTAAATTTTTTAGAATTAATTCACTAATATAGCATTGTCACACCGTTTTCAACTTTGAAAATTTGCTAATTCTTGGACTGAATTTTAATCCAAGTTCCATCTCTAAGCTACTGGAAATACTATGTAACAATAATATTTTTCGACAACAAGTATTTCACTGCCATCTACAAAGTTTGTACCTTCAACTTTATTTAAGTGTCCTATAGGTGTTTTATATCATTTTTGCTTAATAAAAATTGGTTTTAAACCCTAAGTGGTACAACATGACTATGGAATTAACTTTCGTTTCGCACTTCCGTTGATCATTTTGAGTTACGGCAGTTGATCTACACTCTTTATTACATGCATTAACACATAAACATGATGCTCATGACATGTTTTACACTAGTAAAAAAATGGTTTCTATTCCCGGCTGCCAACTCCCTTTATTCCCGGTTACGTAGCCAGGAATAGGAGTTCGGGAATAAAGGGTTAGTAGCTGGGAATAGAAGTGGACCTTTAGTCCCAGTTGGTGATACCAACCGGGACTAAAAAGGTAGCCACGCTAGCGCTTGGGCTAGCCCCTTTATTCCTGGTTGGTATTACCAACCGGGACTAAAGGGTCTTTTTTGTCTTTTTCTGCTTATTTCAATTGATGATTCTTTTTTGTTTTAATTTGGTTTTCGAATACGTATTATTCGCTGTAAAGTAATATACGTATACGCGCGCGTACTGTAAAGTTTTCGCTCGATCAATGCACGCAAGCAACACAAGTAAAAGTAAACTAAAACATAATATTATATTTCATCGTCATATGTAAAGTTTGCATTAATTGTACATTTCATCATCACATGTTCTTTGGATCAATATGAAATTTAGCTTTCATCATCACATATTTGGGTCATAGTAAAACTCACCGCCGGGAGTTAAGACCTGATCATTCAAAAATCCACCTATTGTCTCTTGGATTGCTTTGAGATGGTGTGTGTCCAGGGATAAAGAAAAAGTATATTAGTGTATATATATATATATGTATCAAGAATAATGATAAATAAATTGTATTTATCATGAATATATATATATATAAATATATGTATGAAGAATATATATATATATATGTGTACACTTACCCTTTTTTGCTCTAGACTAGTTCTTTTTGAGCACACTCTCATGAACTCGCAAACATAAGAAGGCGTCGGGATGCCCTCCGGTGAGGAAGAAGGCGCGGTGGCGTGGCGGCGGCGTGGTGTGGCGCGCGCGCGGCGGCGGGGGCAGCCAGGGGCTCCTCCTTGAGGGGCGCGGCGTCGGGGCTACTCCGGCAAGGTGGGCGGGCGTCGGGGTGCCCTCCTGTGAGGAAGGCGGCGTCGGGGGCGGCTGGGGGCTCCTCGGTGAGGGGCGCGGCGTCGGGGCTACTCCTGCGAGGTGGGCGAGCCTCGGGGTGCCCTTCGGTGAGGAAGCAGGCGGCGTCAGGGGTGGCCGGGGAGGCAAATCGGCGGTGGCGGAGCTCTAGGGACGCGCTGAAGACGAAGACGATCGATGAGGAGAAAGAGAGAAGGGAGGCGGCGGTATATAGGAGAGGGACCTTTAGTCCCGGCTCTAGCCCGGGACTAAAGCACCTTTAGTCCCGGCTCCTGCCACCAGCCGGGACTAAAGGGGGACCTTTAGCCCCAGCTGTTGGAAGGAGCCGGGACTAAAGGATTTATTGGCGGGCCGCCAAATGCAGCCCACCTTTAGTCCCCGCTGGTGGCAGGAGCCGGGACTAAAGGTGGGCTACATTTTCATTTCCCGCCAACTTTTAAGCAGATCAGTTTATTTTATATATGTTTTGTATTTAAATGTTTAAGTCTTATTATTTGCGCAGTAAATTCAATACTAGGCATAAATTTTTTTAGAAAAAGTAATCAACTTTATTTTCATTTACTGCACAAAAAAAATATGTGACCTAAACTATTGTGTTTTTTATTATAAATGTTGAACATAATGCAACTAATACTCACTATTTTCGTTAATGCAAAAATGTGGACTTTAATTGAAATTATTAAATTTATTGGCTTTCGACAGGAAATTAGTTTTCACGTAATTGTAACGTAAATCTTTAGGTTCTTCATTAATCATTGTATAATTAATCGGTGAGTTCGGGCGGAAATTCAATTAAAGTTAAAAAAGTACCAAACCACCTCAGAAAAATCTCAAACTTGGTGGTGGCTACACACAGGGCATCTATAGTCTTGAGAAAAAGTTTGAGACCAATCTAGCACTGGAAAGCAAATGGACTTCAGAGTCCCAGAGAACCTAGGTGTATAGATAGGGTTCGACGAAAGGTTCTATATATCTCTGTGAAGCACGTCGACTCCGCCTATGTCGAAATGGCTTGAATTTTTTTGGCAGTTATTTACACCCAAAAATATGACCCCACACAAGATCTTAGATTTTTTTGATAATTATTTTTATTATTATATTTTTCTTTGTGTCGCGTGAGACGAAATACGGTGAATTACATATTGAAAACAATATAATTTTGCATCAACCTCCAGAAATATTTGTCTCCTAGGGCACAAGAGACCATTTGGCAAAGTTTGGCACCATTCCGGATCTTTTCGGGGGTGGACTTAGTTCAATGTATAATTAATCGGTGAAGTCGTGTGGAAATTCAATTAAAGTGAAAAAATTACCAAACCAATTCAGAAAAATCTCGAACTTGGTGGTGGCTTCACACTGGGCATTTAAAACCCTGATAAAAATTATGAGATCAATCAGGCACTAGAAAACACATGGACCAGAAAATTCAAAGTATAGTTAACAAAAGAATATAATCAATTAAAGGGTCTTTTCTCTTATTAAATAAATATTTGGGTGCTTTCTTGTCGAGAAAATGACTTAGTTCAGATGGCTAGCTAGTGCGCTGCGGTTTGGACCTTGGCTATGAGGTCGTGGGTTCAATGTCTGGCTGCTCCATTTTTTTGTCCAGCGCGACTATATTATTTTATCAAGAAAGATTTTATCCCGGTTATAGCCCAGAGCCAGAACTAAAGGTCATCCTTTAGTCCCGGCTGGAGCCTCAAGCCGGGAGTAAAGAACCTTTAGTCCCGGCTCTGGGCTATAACCGGGACTAATTATTGCCTGCCGTCGCCACATATTTGGAGCAAAAACTTTATATCCTTGTTTAAGGATACAACCGAGACTAATAGTCCCTTTAATCTTGAACACAAAAATATCAGAACTAAAGACAAAAATAAAGACGGGATGAAAGATCTGTTTTCTGTTAGTAATTGGTTTACGGGTGTTACACGACTGGCCTGGCCTCTTGTATATCCACATGACTCGGGTTCTGAGAAGGGGCTTGACCCGGTGAGGAGGTGATCGGATGAGCTTGATTCCTTCTGAACGAGGGTCAAAGTTCCTTACAACACAATGTCCTTGGTGGGATCGTCATGCACCGCGATATCGAGGACGTGACAAGTACGTGGGACAGCACGACATGCCTGCCCTACAGCGACCCTGTGGGGAATAGGGGATGGGACAGACATCATCAGTCACTGCGGCGGACGTATTCTACCAACTCAGGCGTGGGCAGACAAGTGTGACTGCGGCTTCCCACAATTTCCTCCATGACATAGGACATGATAACGTTAGTGGCAGTACAAGACAGGATGACAACTGCCGAAGGGTCCTTCAAGACTAGACGACATGTGAGAACCCACTGCTTTATGTAACCATGCCCCTTCGACTATACGAGAAAGGGCAAGGGTTCCCCTTCCTTCTTCTTCGATCTTTTTTACCTCCTTCTGGTCCCTCCAAAACACCTACAACCTCTCCATAGCTCCCGGAGCTCTCTCTCACCCTCTGGTTTGTAACCAACGCTGCAAACATTTGAGTCCTTGGCGCTAAGTAACATGGTTGGACACACCCGACTAGACATAGGGCATTGACGCCTGAACTAATATAAATTTTGAATCCCCATGCTAAGCCATCCGATTGCAAATTTAATATCGATTGATTTATAAATATGATTGACACAATTCTTGTTGGATTAGTTCAAGAATTGTATTCATTTTGTTCCATTCAAATTTGGGATTAGTCAGAGTTATGGTTTTGAACCAACATCTCTTTCACTAGTAAAACAGCATTGTGTCTAGATATGAAAAACAAGGTGTATTTAGGTTTTATATGTTTAGAGGAAAGTAATAAAATTTGTTTTTAGCTTCCGCAATCATTCTTCACCTCTTATTGCTATCCTCGAGTGAATTGATCCAATAGTTATGAATGTTTCCTAATGTTTCCTCAAAATATAGTACTCTCTTCGTTCCAAATTATAAGTCGTTTTAACTTTTAAAGGTACACACTTTTTGCTACGTATTTAAATATATATTATGTCTAGATACATAGTAAAAACTATTATCTAGAAAACCAGAAGAGTTAAAAATATGAGAGAATCTGATTCTCTATCCTTGAGCGATTCCAATAGTTATAAATGTTTCCTCAAAATTTAGTAGAAAAGACGAGAGAATGTATCGTATGCTGGCAAACCGTTGAAGTTGTGAGGCGCGTTTCAACTTTCAAGTTATGATATGAAGCAAGCTTCAAACGAGTACCCATCAAATCTTTACACGTTACATAGGTGCCAAAGTGGCAGAAAAGGGAACACAAACAATTGCATCCGTGGTGCATGAATGGGAGCCGTGGATTCAAAGTGCATTGTCTACTGCTGATTAATGGGCTAATGGCAGGGACAGGGACGCATTATCGTTGGTGGAAATGGAATGTTCTGACAACATAGTTCTCATGAGGCGCCAAATTTTCTGCTGGCCATCCCGTACGAGATAGGGACGCAGCCACGAAGCACGCAGAACGCCTGGAGGGCAACGAAGAGGAAGAGCAAGACCACGGCGACACAGGCGAGCAGCTCCCTGGAGCCAAGGAGACGCGCCTTCACGAACGTCCTGACCCTCACCTTCCAGCAGCCGCCGTAATGCCTGTTGAGGTCGTCGATGACCTTGTCCAGCGCGGGCACCCTCGTCAACCTCACGGACCTCGTCATGCCGTTCCACAGCTCGGCCACCTCCCGGTCGCTCTTGAGGTAGTTCAGCACGACGCCGCACTCCCTCAGCATCCGCGCGTCCTCCTCGGTGTCGATGATCCCGTTCATCAGCTCCACGTAGCGCGCGAGGACGAGCGGCCCGAGCCCCGCCGCCGCCTCGTACGCCACCAGGTTCCGCAGCACCACCTCACTGTTGACGTCGACGCCGATCACCGGGAGGTGCAGCGTCGCGGTGGCCGGGCAGAAGTCGACCATGGAGAGGTCGCCGACAGTCGGGCAGAACCTGACGCCGGTGTACGCTAGCTCGGCGACGGATGGCACCGCGATCTCTTCGAGCAGAGGCGATCTGTCCTTGTCCTGAGCACCTGGTGTGCCGCCGCTTGTCTCGGCCGCGTGCTGCGTCAGCTGCTCGATGGGTTCTCCGAGCACCGAGAGGCAAGGAAGGCTGGCTATAAACTTGAGGAGAACCCTCAGCAGGAAATCTACTATCACTGACACGATCTTTGAGCCACGACTGACGAGCAAGTCCATGACTGAATTCAGTGTACTCTTTCTGTGATCATGGCACGACTCGTCTCCTCCTTCTTCTGTGCCATGTGATTCTTCAGTACATCTAGGCACCATGTTTGAGTAGAGGAAATCAAGCAAGTGGACATGCCGATTGGCGTCGGTGCATGGACGGCCAATCCCTCTGAACGTGGAGACCTCCTGAAAGAACCCAACCAGCATGGAGCTCAGCACGGATTGCGCCGGCGGTTGCGCCGCCGCCGTTGAGCACCAGGACTCGATCACCTTCAGGAGCAGGAAGAGAGGGACCTGGTTCTCCAGCATGACTACGTCGCGGAGCAGCATGCTATGCGAGGATGTCCTGCGAGAGGGGTCTACCAAATGTGACATCCTGGAGGGGATCCTCTGCAGCGCTCTCTGCTGGTTACCGTTGTTCTTGCTGAAAGTCTGCAGGAACTCGAGGAGGAAGGACACGTCGATGGCCATCATCCACCCTAGTGCCTCGTTGCTCAGATTCAGATGCCTACAAACAAGAAAGATCAGAAGTTCTCCAAGTATGAACGAAATTAAGATAACGATGTGTGTAGTGTGTCTCACCTCACCTGTGATAGTGAGCACGAACTAGATGCTCTAGTTTCGTGAAGACATCAACAAGCCGTTGGAAGTCCATGCCCGGGAGGTGGCTCTGGGCTCGCTTTGCCGCCGAGAGCTTGTACCTCTCCATGTCACAGAGTTCTTCGCGGCAATGGTGGTATGGGCCAAGGGCCACCAGCTGAGGGATGTAAGCTTCAGGTTTCGTGCTCAGCAGAGGCTTGGGGACATCAAACACGCAGATGGGCTGATCCTCATAGACCTCGATCTCCTCATCGAAGATCCGGCGAATTCGGATGATCCACCGTGCTTCATCAAAGGGGAGCGTTGGACATGATGTCGCCATAGCTCAAGGAAAGAGAGCCAGATTTGGATGCTGAACTGAAATGGGTTAAAACAAAAGTGGGGTAAAAGAAAACTCAAGGCTGTTTATTGCATTGATGACAGAAACCGCCAATTTATGAGGAACATGAATCTAATTTATTAGTACAGTTAAAACTGAAATGTAACCGAAGTTATGAAATTATTTTAGCTCCCATGTCTTTCTGCAACAGAAATTTAGCTGTACTTAGGGAAAACAAGTTTTTGTTTGAAGACCAATTAACAAAATTTTAGCTGTACTCTTAGGGAAAACGAGTTTTTATTTTAAGGCCAATTATTTGTGGATGGGTGCGAAGATCCGTGAAAGAAGATTAAATGGTTATATTGTGGAATGCCTAAGTTTGAATATGATGTACAGTTTAGCATAACCAAACATACTTTGGCTAGCAATCAAAGGTAAACGTGAAGTTTTGAAGAACAATACTTACAACATCTCCAATAGTTCAAAAAAAAATTATAAATCAATGAATTTTTTTAAGTGGCTAAAAAAAGTTGGGTCACACTGTTTCTAAAATAAAATATCACTCCTAAAAAAATAAAAAACAATTTTGCATCAGAAAATCCGAATTATTTCCAAAATACTCGACCACTTTTATACTTTCTTTCTCTCTTGTACATATGTATCGGTAACCTTGTACTTACTTCTTAATCTTCCCCACTTCCTTCCACCTCGGGATTAGCTCATTATACTTTCTGTATATTTCTGCGTGATCGGATTTTCCAAGTGCAGAAAGGTTAGGAGTTGAGATAAGAAATTATTGGAGAGCATTATTTTCCAATATTGCCCCAAAATCAAGATTGAGCATCTCCAAGAGTTTCCAAAACCCACTCCCAATCTTGATTTTTTGGTGAGATTAAAAAAAACTGCTATGCAATAATTCCCTATCTCAACTCCTAACCTTTCCGCACTTGGAAAAATCGACTCAATCGTGTGGAAATATATATCAATCGGCCAATCTAGAGGTTTGGAAGGACGTGGAAAAGAATAAGTAATTGGTTAGAGTTCTTAATGCAAATGTGCAAGAGTGAGAAAGTATAAAAGTGGTTACGGTAATTTGGAAATAGTCCGAGATTCTGATGCAAAATTGCCTTCCATATTTTAGAAGTGAGATTTTGGAAATTGTTCAAGGAACCCAACAAATGTGCTCCCAATATTTTTTAGCCACTTGGAAAACTCATTGATTTATCAATTGCTTTATTGGAAACTAACGGAGATGCTCTTAGAAGTGGGTTTTGGAAACTAATGGAGATGCTCTTACCTAGCATATTATGGCTGACAATCAAAGGTAAACATGAAAATGATTAGTTTTGAAGGACAAGACCTTGTAAAGGCTCGAACCTCGACAAAATTTAACACAATAGTAGGTAGTATATATATATATATATATCTTATGAAAGTGAAACATGTAGCTCACGTAGGAATTTTTTTCCCATAGAATAAACTTGTGATTATTCTTATTTTTAAAGAAAAACTCTAAGACAACACTTACTAGAAAGCAAGTAGACTAGCTCGCATATCACCGTATCACATTCTCGCAATAACTTAGACTCAATTTTTATAGCACTTTCTTCCGCAATGTTAAACAGACCCAAGGATTCCTTCGAAATGGCAAGCGGAAGGAGATAGGTGAATAAGAGTTAATCAAAATTCTTGTCGTCGGGAAAGAACTTAGCCTATGCTCCAGTTTCAGCACAAACCACATCTCTTCTAATCACCTAGATCACACATACCAACATATGACAAATGACACTGGAATGATGAGGTCTAGCTTAGAACATAGCGAAATCAACACACAAAAGAGTGGAACTGATACACACAAAGAAGAGCAGTGTTGACGGTCATTATACACCACTTTTACCGCCAACAAAGTGTACTTTTAAGATGAATTATAAACATAACCTATACTTCTAATGTGGAATAAAAGGACAAATGCATATATTTTGGGAACTACTAACCTGCAAAGCCCACTAGTGGAAATGGAGCCAAAATGGGCTCCTTAGTGGGTCGCCTGAAGTCAATATGGGTCGATCAACCTAGGCTTGGCCCCCTCTGACCTCCCAACTCAACCCATGACGAAGAAACACACTCTCAAGCTCATCCCATCATTGGTTGCATGTCATTTCATGATCAAACTTCCGGATGAAGCTACACATGAATCCTTGGGTCCACCATTCCTACTTTGGTGATCAAATGCACACCAAACTTCATACCCATGCTCCTAAGTACCTCAAGGACCACTACACAGAAGGGGGAAGCCCCACTCCTTAGTGCCGGTCGCTCGAAGTAAGGGGGGCAGGGGGCGTCGCCCGACCCCAGCAACTCCACCGAACCACCTCATCTTTTCACACACCCAAGCTAACACAAAATGGATCAATCTCATGTGTTGGTGGAATGGCAGTTTGATCCAAGGGCATGTGGGATGCTTTCACATGGATTGAAGGGCCCACCTTGTCACTCTCTCAAGGCTATAAATAGGAGGTGCCCCTCTCACTTGAAACACACACCACAAGGAGCAAGCCTCACCACTCTCTCAAGATATAGTCATAGTATTAGTATTGTAGTTGTAGTATAGTTGGCAGTTAGAGTGAGTTGAGTTTAGCTCCAGGTTCCCGAGTACTCTTTAGAAGATGGTAAAGCTCTTGTATCTCCACTATCTTTTAAGACTTTGGCCTTAATTGATATATGTTCTCTACTTAGTTGTTCACTTAGTCCTATACTATATTTCGGTTGTAGTACATTGATTACTTTATTAAATGAAGGCTTACTGCCAAATTTTTTCATAGTTGTAGATGTTATTGCAAAGATATGAGATTTTCGGCCTATTCGCTGGTTGGTGCTGGTGCTGGTTTGAGCTGGCTGGTGCTGGTTTTTTGTGAGAGGAAAACACTGTTGGCTAGTTGGTTTGGGCTGGCTGAAACCAACAAGCGAACAGGTTGTTTGCCCCGTTATCAATTTGCTCAACTTTTTCACCCAAAGCTGAACCTTTACTTCTTGTCCACTACAAATTCCGAAGTGAAAAATAATTTAGTTTAAGATGTGCTGAAACATTAGGAAAATTAATCTAATTTAAGGTGTGCAAAAACATAAGGAAATATCTTCAATTCATCAGTTTATTAGGGTTGCTACAGTAGCATGCATGTAAACCTATAAAGTTTGGTAGATTGAGAAGGAAAGAAACCTACTCGATCAAAGCACAATATCATGAATTTTGGTTATTCCGAATTATGTTCTGGTTTCTTCAATGGTTCAATGTGTGTTGCAACTCTTATGATATCTATGATACATAAATATGAGTTGTTATCAAATAGTGATCGAATGAGAGGAAAAACAAAAAATATAACATTAGAAAGCATGTCTGTACTGAAAAAACTGGAAACTACTGTATCTTTGATCTTCTTTATATTAGTTGTGGGCAAGAAGTTGAGTACCTTATCATTCTCCACTAGTCGATATTTTTGTGCAGCTGCTGTGACTTTGACATTTGTAATGATATAAACTTTACCTTCTTCGATTAGTGGTTTGAATTTTTCTATATATGCCTTATTGATAACTCAATGTATTTTGGCATCCTGCATTTTATTATCATTATCATATAAATCAGAAGTAATCCAAAACCACTATAAACACGATGAAAAAATATTATACCTGATGATCAATAAGGATCATATCAAGACTGACTTGTTCGCCGCTATCGAGCAAGATTACATCCCATATTCTAGCGACTCGTGCTTTGATTTTCCATAATTGCTTTCCTAGTGAAAACCCTAGTTTGGTTTTGAAAAATTGATGAAACCTATTTGGACTAACCCTATGCTCTAAGTGTGGATGTGAGATAGGTTGGTCCAACCTAAGTGATGGAGCTAAGTGGCACTCATGGATAGAGATGGCCACATGAAATGAAGATCATGGTGATGGTGTGGACACATGTGATGATCAAGCTCCGGACTTTGGAAAAAAGAAGAAAGAGAAAAACAAAATGGGCTCAAGGCAAAGGTGATATCTATAGGGCAATTTTGTTTTGGTGATCAAGACACTATAGAGAGTGTGATCACATTTAGGATAGATGGTTATACTATTAAGAGGGGAGCTCTTATCGGACAACTCGATCATCTAGTGCCACTAGGTGTTGGCAAACTTGCGTATGCATTTTAGGCCTTGTGCACAATCGGTGAGAAGTGATTAACCTTTGAAAAATGATTGTGAAAATGCTAACACACTTGCATGTGATGGTGAAACACTTGTGGTGTTGGCACATTTATAAAGGTGGTGAAAAGGCGCAGAAAAGGAGACGAAACTGAGCTTAAAGTGGTGCCCTAGGGGCACCATCACCCCTTGTCCGGTGGCACCGCCACCCCTAGGGCCGTGCCCACCTGGCAGTATCCCGAGAAGCTGCGTGGGCATGGTCACCGCCGTGGCCGGTGTTCACTACCTCAGCGAGGGCGGTGCACCACCTGGTCACTGCCACTGGTAGGGCGGTGCACCGCCATTTTTATCCAGAGAGCGAGGGAACCGAGGGTGGTCACTGGACAGGGCACTGCACCCTGTATCCGGTGCCACCGCCCGATTTTTTCAGAGAGGGGGTCTTGGGTGGCTTGGTCACCACCCTCCCTAGGGCGGTGCCACCGCCACATGTCCGGTGCCCGCTTGGCCAGTCAAACTAGCCGTTGAGTCGACCGTTGGGGGGCACCGCCACCCCATGTTCGGTGCCACCACCGCTGTGTTCGGTGGCCTCGCAGAAACTAGCTCCAAGGGGTAACGGCTCTATTTTATGGTGGGGCTTATAAATAGCCCCCTTGGCCGGCCATGGCCACTCTCTTGGAACTCCAAAGTGCTGAGAATTCATATTGTGAGCAAGCTAACATACTCCACTCACTTCTACACTTGATTTCATCATCTTGAGTGAGATTGGAGAGTCTCTAGTGCATTGCTTAGTGATCTAGCATCTTGTGGCACTAAGTGGGCGA